GCATCTAAACCCAAACGCAAAACAAAAGATGCGCGTAAATTTGGCTGCACAGGTGTTTAGCCACTCAGTTGCTGCAGGCTTATATTCAAAAATATCTGACGGTACAGTATTTATATCTTGTCTGCTATCAATAATTATTATTGTTTACCTTATTTCTTCAAGTATTTATGTAGTGGTGTTTTCTTTTTTCAGGGGTTCTCACTACTGAAGCTGTTGCAACGGCTGAGTTAGTTTCAAAAATGGACAAATTGTTTGACCTACTCAATAGCAGTACGTCTAATTTAAAAAATGGTAAACCACATGCCACAAACATATCGAAGACATCTCCACATTGGGAATTTTTCAATGAAATGAGAAGATTCTTCAAAACTTTAATATTAATAGGATGCCAGAGAGCACCACCTTCTATAATGGGTTGGTTATGGACTATGAATGGTGTAAAACATTTATATGCCAATTTAACAAAAAAACACAAAGACATTCGTTCTATTTCAACCAGGGCTCTTCAACAAGACCCCCTAGAAAATTTATTTGGGGCTATAAGAGCGAACTGCGGTTCTAATGTTAACCCAACAGTGCGCCAATTTGTGGCTGCCTTGAAAAGTACCATTTTTTCAAAATTAAATAGCTCAACGAAAGGAAATTGTGAAGAAGATGACAATAAAGCAATTGTAGAAAATTTTAAAAAACTATTAAATCGCTCACAAATATGCACAGGTTCAACTTTGCCTGAAAGCTCTCTAAGTGATGATTCTGCTATTGAAGATTTTATGTCATCAATAGCAGAATCATTTGATGGCAGTGTTGGAGAGCCCTCTGCAGAAATGCAGGCCTGTGCTTATGTGTGTGGCTATATTTTAAAAAAAAGCAAAATTTCGTGTGAAAATTGCAATAAAACCTTCACAACACAAAATGTTGATAATAAATTATATTTATTCAGCACTTATAAAGAATACAATGATTATAAAAGGGCTTTAAAATATGCGTCTCAAAAATTTGTCGAGTGTGTGGCAGCTTGTGCAAAAACGTCTAACGAAATCTTAAAAACTGAGAACCACACACTCGGTGTTAAGAAAATTGTCAAGGATAAATGTAAAAAATCTGTCAGTTTTTCTTTCTTACCTGATTGTCACAAAGCAGAAAATATTGAATTTATTGTGAACAGCGTATTTCATATCTGTATGAAACGCTTGTCTTTAATTAAAAATAGAGAATTTATAGAAGCAGCTTCAGCTGCTTCCTTGAAAAGAAAAATGACAATTATTAAACATGTGTAAGCTATGTAAAACATGTTAATTCTTTATTTTTAATAAATCATTTTATACAGATATGAAATAAGCTGTTATTAAACAATAAATTCAATATTTTCGGCTTGTGACAACCAGTTAAGAAAACCTAACAGATTTTTTACATTTATTTCACAATTTTCTTCATGCAGTGTGTGGGTCTCAATTTTTAAGATTTCAGACGTATGTCATGTATTGCATTAAACGCATGTGGGCTTTAAAGCCCTTTTATAATCATTGTATTCCAAAGTGCTGAATAAATATAATTTATTATCCACATTTTGTGTTGTGAAGTTTGTTTTTTATAATTATCACATGAATTTTTACTTTTTTTTTTTCAAAATAAAGCCACACAGGTCTGCATTTCTGCAGAAAGGATCTCCAACACTTTCATCAAATAATTCTGTTATTGATGACATAAAATCATCAATAACAAAATCGTCACTAACAGATCCTTCAGGCAAAGTTCGACTTGTGCATATTAGTGGGCGCTTTAATAGTTTTCTGCCGACTTCCAAAAAGGAGCCGGTACTCAATTCGACTGTATGTTTTTTTTTTCGTTTTTTTTTTATGTGTGTATCCTCAGAACTTTTTTCTGGGTGAACCGATTTCGATGATTCTTTTTTTATTTGAAAGCTGGTACTTCTCGTGTGGTCCCATATGAATTTGATCAAGGTCAGACCAATAGTTTTTAAGTTATTCTTAAATAACTTATATTGAAGTCGGCTGTACAAAATTTTTAATTTTAAATTATTTGAAATTTTATACGCTTTACAATTTCCTTTCGATGAGTTATTTAATTTTGAAAAAAAATGGCTAATGTTTTTGGGTTTTTTTTGTTAAATTAGAATACAAAAATGTGTTATACCATTCATAGTCCATAGCTAACCCATTATAGAAGGGGTGGAACTCTCTGGCATCCTATGAATATTAAAGTTTTGAAGAATCTTCTCATTTCAAACTTCCCAATGTGGAGGTCTTCGATATGTTTGTTAATTAAAAAAAAGAGAATTTACAGAATGAGCTTCAGCTGCTTCTGGAGCCCCCATATATCTAAACTAGCAAGCAGACTTAGTTCTGCAGCATTTGCTGTAAACAAGGTTAGAAATCTTACCAGTGTTGAAACAGCTAGACTAGTTTACTTTAGCTATTACCATAGCATAATGTCGTATGGTATTTTGCTGTGGGGACACGCAGCTGACACTGAAATTATATTTGTTTTACAGAAGATGGCTATAAGAGCAATTTATAATTTAAAGCCTAAAGAGTCGCTGCGACAAATATTTAAGAAAATTAATATATTAATTTTGGCCTTTCAATACATTTATGAAAATGTAATGTAAGTACACAAAAATAAAAGTAGTTTTACAAACATAAGTGATATTCATTCTGTAAATACTAGGAACAGACACAAGCTAATAGTACCAGTTACTCTACTCCACCGAGTCAGTAATTCATTCTTGGGGCGAATTATACGCTTTTACAAAAAAATTCCAGAAAATATACAAAATTTGACTTGCTCAAAGTTCAAAAACTTTATTAAACTAAGTTTGTATAAAAAGGGTTATTATAAAGTTAAGGAATTTATGGATGATAATAACCCCTGGGAATGAGGTGATCGCTACCAAGCTATTTCTAATTTGTTGTGTTGTTAATTGTGTAACATACATGATTGTAAGCTATTTAAAAAAACCCGCTGGGTTTCTTGCTGGTTCTTCCCAGGACAGAGGTTTTTTTTCGAACCAGTGGTAATTAAACAAAAGAGTGATTTTCAATAAGTATTATATATAATCTATATTGAATAAACAAGTTTCTGTTTCTGTTTCAAATTGTCGACATTTTTATATTTAAATTGAGTATATATTATTATAGTTATTTTCTATGTGAAAATTGCAAGAAGTTTGCATAATTTAAACATTGTTTTATAACATATTAAATTACGCCGTAAACTGTAATTCCAATATGCCAACTTATTTGAATTTAAAACATTTTTGTATAGTTTAGTTATGTTTTTTTCCGTATCTTTTTTTATGGAGAAATTAATTTGTAAACATAAATTAAGATTTACTATACTTGCAATCCAAACTTATTAGTTTGGATCACAGAATACTTTACTCGTTTGGATTCGTGATGTCCCAGGCACTACAGCGTCTAGAGAATAGCTGTTGTAAAATTATTGACGCTGTATAAATCATCTTTAGATGTAAAGGCCAATTTTTCTATTAAAACAAAATTCAAATTGTCGACATATTTTATATTTTATTTAAATTGATTACATATTATTGTAGTTATTTTCTGTGTGAATATTGTAAGAATTTTGCATAATTTAAACATGTTTCATTAAATATTAAGTTACGCTCACAGAATACTTTACTGTTATGCTACACCTGTAATTCCAATATACTAACTTAAATGAATTTAAAACAATTTAATAGGCTAATTATATTTGTTTTTTTTTCTTTATCTTTTGTTATGAATAAATGAATTTGTAAGCATAAATTATATTTTACTATAACTTGTATTCCTCGTCAGAAATACATAACTGTGACCGATTCTGGTTTTTCCAAGATTTATTCTATTAGGAAATATGTTTCTAAAATAATTAATTATTATAATTCTAGAGATAAATTTATAGAAATAATGTTTAATGATAGAAACATATTTTTTAATAGAATAAATCTTGGAAAAACCAGATCGATGAAAAAAATTTAATTTCTGCGATTCGAATTTTCCCGCTCAAATTTGTTGTATGTGCTCCAACGGTAGATGGCGCTGAATTTTGTTCCTATCCATTTTATATGGAGTTAACATTCTTCTCCGCTAGGAGTAAAGTATTCTGTGTTACGGATCGCCGTAACGCCGTTCGAAAAATGAGTGAAACACGTTGGTCTTGCTTACTACTGGAGGCAAGCGGCGGTGAGGAGGAACTTTTTCTTTTTTTGCTGTTGTTTTCTTTACTGTAGCTGGAGAGCGACTGACGACCGTTCCGACCGGCTCGTCTTATATACTATTCGGCCATTGCTGGCCAGCGGACCCTTGCCTCACCCCCGCGCCTTTCTTTATTAGGTAAATTTCTTATAAACTAATGTACAGACTTAAATATATTACATTCTTACAATTACTTATTAAACTAATACTTATATAACAATTTTTCTACATAGTAAAGGTTAAAACGTTGTTATTCCAGCAATTTTGAGCTGAGGACCCTGCCCCCCGCCTCAGTACTATAAATATAAAACGTCGTGGCGCGTCGCGCGTAGTCTCATTCGCTCCGCGGCCGCGTCACGGTAACATGCCCTGTTTATTATTTATCGTGCCTAAAGGCTTAATACATAAGGAATTAAATTGCACTATACAAGGGAATATAATTTATATACAATACTTATTCTACAATTTGGTATTAATTAATTTCTATATTCTAAATCTGTTAACTCTCGCCATTTGTTCGGTGCCTTTATTGCGAGAGTTATTACATAGTTACAATACTATTTATTTAAAAATAAAAGCTATATTTCTCAATATTATTGCTACGGCTTTTCCCGCGTTGCTGTGGGCAACCACCGCTGGTTGTGGAACCGTGAGCGCACCCCGACGATCATAACATTCTCATGGCTCCGCCCACCGCCCCTAGGTTGTTCAACTAGCGATGGTTACCACAAGCAATCCGTAAGTCATTTCGTTCGACGTATTACTATGTTTGCGTCGTGCACATACATAAATAATTTGACATGTAATAATAATGTAAATTTGGCATTTATGTAATTGTAATAATTATAATAATAGAATTCACTTGATAGACATAAATAATTTAATTAAGAATTGTTCGACTAATGATAGGTGGTACCTATCTAAATTTATTTTAAAACTTATAGCAAATGGGCTATCTTATTATTATATTTTAACCCTTTATAAGGCAGAGAGAACCAGAAAAGGTTCGAAAATGAAATTTTAGTATGTTGTTAAGGATACACATATAAGCATTTTTGCAAGTTTTTCAAGCAGTAGAGTGGCATAATTTAAGTAAATTAAAGACAATGTAGTTTGTTACAATATACTTATTTACTTAAAATCACAAATATTATTTAAAAGGAACAATAGATGTCTTCAAATGATATATATTCAGTTAGAAAGTTTACTTAATATAGGAATGCTTTTCTCTTACTCTATACTTCTTATAATTAGGTTTATTTTTTGATATTAATCAACTTTGGCTCTTATAATTACTTGAATACATTGTGCTCAAAATTACAAAAACTGAATTTATTTTTAGGGCCTCTGATGAAATTGACTGAAACAGGGTAAGCACAAAGAAATACCTTGCATGTCGTGCAGGAGAAATAGGTTTTTTGTTATTTGTCTTAGTACTGCACAAACCACACCTGTGCCGCGTGTTATACTTGTCAATCAGGTGTATTCCGACATCTTTGTATCGGATATCATCAGGAACTCCTACAGGTTTCTGATAGTGAGGACTGACCGCGATGCGATTCTTCTTGGCGACAAAATTAGGTCCGCTACCTAAGCTCCTTTTTCTCGACGAGTAATCTCTGATAAGTGACCTGGCTAACATTACGCGATATTGCAAATTTGTCAGCTTTACTGGATTTCTACTCAAAGTCAAGCACAATATGTATGCGTTAGTGATAGCTAAGTCAATCAAGAAATAAAGAATTCGACACCACCAACGTCTTTCGGCGATCAACTTCATAGGAACCACGTTTTTAGTCAAACCTTTCCATCCCTCCCATCCTCTTTATGTATTCAGTCACAGTCTGAGGGCAGGGGATTTTTTTATTGGAACCATCTTTCATAGTTCTTTGACACTTGGTTTTTTGGTTAGAGTGAAATGCTGTATTTAAAAAATGCACATTTTTCGTGTCTTTTTTTTTATGGCGGTTTTTTAATTATTCGCCAATGTCAGCGTGGAAGTGTTTATTGAGTACAAGCTCAGTAGTTACAAATACTATGCCCATGTACTAAAGAAGATTGTGATAATACAAGTATCTTATTTTCTTTAAACAATTAAATTTTCCCTTTTTATCTTGTAATACTATTGTTGTACTGTTGAATTACCTAGAACAAATGACAAACACAGTTGCTATAACTACATTAGTATATTAGTATTGACAAACATTAAACTTTTATACTATTAGTGTTAATAAAATCACACAGAATATATATATATTGTTACATAGAGAAACACGAATTGACTTTATTTAAAATATTTTAATGGCCTTTGGCCTAACAAATATTAACTAACTTAAAAGCTTAAAACAAGGTTCAAAATAATGACGCTAGTATTCGAGCAAAGCTTCCGCACTCCGTGATGACCGTCGGCAAAAAGGGGCGAGTGACTTTTTTTTTTTTTTTTTTTTTTTGCGCCCGAAGCAATTGGAAAAGGGCTACCACTGAGGGAGGCGGAAAATGCATTATGCATACCACGACAGCCGGTCTGTCCTGGTTATGTGGGACTCACTGCCTACCGGGGGACCTAAGTGATACCCACTAAAAACCGCCTTTGGGGACTGGCAACTAGCTCTATTAAAGCTGCATATGCCGTATCTAAAGCGACCCTCTTTTGGGAAAAGAGGGCGCAGACGGCTAAGTGCCGTTTAGGGACTGCCTACGAAGGCATATTATTAATTTTAACTAATTTTTAATTTAATTAGGATTGGCCTGAGCCGCCAGGAGGCAGTTCAGGTCGTTTGACAACTTATTTGGCGGGTCCGAGAGAGTGTTTCTCGGCCTGCGGACGCTATAGCGAGAAGGGATTGGGGCGGTATAAGTAACTGCCTCACGAATAAGTGTGTTAGTATGCGACTCTGATACTTTAAAGAAGTTTTCAGAGAATTTTTTAAGACATTGCTGGATTGTTGGGATTTCTAAATCCCGGTGAAGGTCGGCATTACGGACGTACCAAGGTGCGTTCGTAGCTCGACGACAGAAGAGATTTTGAACAACTTGGAGTTCGTTAATAATTTTATCGTTAGCGTGTGCAAAAATAGGAGCCGAGTAAGTCATAACCGGTCGTATACAAACCTTATAGAGGGTTCGCTTATTTCGTAATGACATTTTGCTATGTCTGCCTAACATACTGTTAAGCCGACCTAAATAGAAACGTGCTAGACGCGTTACTCTTTTGACATGAGACTCAAAAGTAAGCCTATAGTCAAGGGTGACGCCTAAATATTTTGCTGACATGTGCCATGGGACAGGGGTCCCTAGCATTCATATAGTTCATAAAAAAATTCATATAGTTCATAAAAGCGTCAGATTATGTACCCAATTAGCCAAACAAGTCAGTCAGTCAAAACAGTCAACATGAACAGTTATCAACGCCACACAAAAGCGTTTCAAGTCACATAGGTTTTACACAGGTCTCTTCCCACGCAACCGAATACCCCGCACATACTCGCGTGTGCAAACAGGATTTACATCAGTCTCTAGCAGGTCACCCCAGATACCTAATAATGGCTGGATTTACACAGGTCTGTTGTCGGCTGCGCCACCGACTCACCCCAGAAACCACCAGTGTCAGGGTCAACCCAATACCATGCGCACAGGATTTATACGGGTCTCTTCCACTGAACACAACACGTAACGTAGTCAAAATCAATAAACACGGGCTTGTTTGGTACATAATCTAGCTCAAGAATAGGGAAAGATTATCTTCTCGATTGTCACAGCACCAACACACGACCAAGCGCATTCGCCGCGGCACCTCTGAAGGAACTCGCGCGATCGCGGTACGTGTAATCAGATTTGCGATTTCTGCAGAAGTCCCGTATGAGAGCTATAAACAATGCATACATCGTTTGAGTCATTATAAAATAAGCTAACGAATTACATACGAATCAGGACAGCTCCCTTCGTAACACATTATCAATTCTATTTTGAAATTGATGTAATCGAGCTCCTCCTACTTCAATACACATAAGTCGTTACAATCATAAAAGCAAACCTTTATTCGACAAATATTTTACTTTACCCACTTAAAACATATTTAACATAAATCCATAAAAATAACATAGCTCTTGACACATTTTTTTTTTCACCCCACAAGCTCTACGATAACATGCCTCACTTAAATGACCCGATAAGGTAAGGTAAGTTTTGGGTGAGTTTAAGTCGAGAGTCGAGAATACTGCAAATTAAGTGGTTTATGTAATAATTTATGTCCCGTTTGGGTTCACATTCTTATCACAAACATAGTTTTAACTTTTGGATAAGAAATATAGCAAAAAATATAGAAATACGTGGGAACTGATCGAGCTCCACAAGGCACTTGACATAATATGCGCCTTTGTTTACTCCAATATTCCAGAGGCCTGTTGACAGATGAGGGGTTATTAGGTATGTAAAATAACAAAGCAAATATAACAGCAATCGTACTACTAGTACCTTCAAAAAATGCAGCACATGTTTCGGGTGTCCATTCACCCTTCCATAACACCATGTATGCTGCAGCTGCCTGACTAGTCTTTCCGTAAGCGCCGGCTAACAAATGTATCTTCGGAAGTATCCTGCGAGGCCAAGAAATTGGCGAACCTGTTTGATATTACTCGGTCGTGGTGATTTAACTAACGCATCAATTTTATAATTGCTCGGTCTAACCTGACCATCTCTTATAATCCTACCCAAGTATTCTATTTCGTTAGTAACAAAAGTACATTTCTTTAAATTAATTGAAAAACCTGTTTCAGTTAGCGTTTTCATAACCGAATCTAATAAAACGAGGTGTTCGTCAATCCCGACCGTCATTATTAATACGTCATCTATGTAGACCATGACTTTTCCGGCATCGATAAAAGATTTAAGCGTTTTAGAGATAGTCTTCTGATAAAATATAGGCGCGTTCGCCAAACCGTAGGGTACCTTGCAATATTCATACTGCGCCTCTGGTGTAACGAATGCGGTCTTATGAATCGACTCTTCTGCAACTCTAAGTTGATGGAAACCGGAAACCATATCCAGAGAGCTAAACCAGCGACCATTGCCTAGCCTGTCTATATAGTCGTTGATCAAGGGGAGAGGATATCTAGTTTTAACGGTTATTCGATTCAATGCACGATAGTCAACGACCATTCTATCAGGACCATCCTTCTTTTTTACGAGCAAGATCGGACTAGCGTATTCTGAATCGGACTCGCGAATAATTCCTTTATCGAGCAGATCCTTCACTATAGTGCGTACTTTTAATTTTTCGCCATGCGATAATTTGTAGGGTCTATAGTACACGGGCACATCGGTTGTTAGTTTGATATGCATCTCACTATCTTTCACCGTTGTGGTCGCGGTACCACTTAAAAAGAAATCGGAATACTTGGTGAGGATCTCTAGTAATCGTTCTCTATTATTTCCAAATACCGACGTATTAACTTGATCGGACAAAGAAATCAAATTTACTTGCAGAATATCGTTTACAGTCGCCTCACTATGAATTATACGTTGGCTATCACCGGTCCTAACATATGTAATACCTTTCCTGTTTAGTACGTCTGTACCGATAATGACTGGCACACTCAAATTATTCCCACCCACCACATAAAAATCAATTTCTATCGTTATATCGCTAAACTCGACGGGTAATATTACAAATGATTCCGACCTTATTTCCATACCACCCAAGCCGCGTAGCAACTGATTCGTAGGCTTTACTTGACACGGAAAATGCTTAACAACATTTTTTGACATTAAGGAAACACATGAACCACTATCGATTAGTACGTCTAATGGTATTCCCGATATGACCGCAGTCGTGACGTCGCGATTTTTATAACTGTCCGTGATTTCGCGACAAAAATTGACACCATTATTATTCCGAGAATTTGCGCGTTCCTTAGCAAAACAAGTTACCTCGGAATGACCTACCTTTTTGCAAAACCGACACTTTAACGGATCGCTACGAGATATCGTCGGTAACGCGATTGTTTTTTCGTTACTATAACTCGGGAGTGTATTCGACCGTTTGTTACAATTAAAACTCCTATGACCAAATTGATTACATTCGTAACACCTTATTGATTTTAAGTCTTCGGAATCATATCGACGTTTTATCGGTTTGCGGTTCGAGTTACTATTATTAGAGGGTCGGTCAAATCGATTGAGACCATTAGAATACACTTTCCTATTATGGCTGTTAGAAGGTTTAACAAAGCTCGATAAAAACTCCACTATAGAGGCAGGTGATAATTTGGCGTTAGCAGCCATAGCACGAATTTGTGGATCTGCAATTCCACGAATGATAATAGCCGTAAGCAGCTCGCTACTGAGACCTTTAACTATGCGTAACCTTACAAGTGATTTACGAGCATACTCAGCATATGTGGAGTATTTATCTGACCCTGTCCTCATTACATCATAAAGCATGTTCGCGACATCGACAGAACGTGGGCATAGCGCTTTTAGTTCTGATTTGAAATTGGACCACGTGCGAATACTGCTCGTCCATTGGCTAAGCCAGGTGCGAGATTCTCCTTTAAAACAATGTCCGACACGAGCAAGGCATTCTCTGTCGTCCCAATGGTTCGAAATACGGGCTCTTTCTACCTCATCACACCACGTGTCGAAGTCATGAACATTCGGATCAAAATCAGAGACAAAATATCGGTTAGATCTGACCTGAGTACTGCCGATAGCGGTCAAAAGACGCTCTACGGCGTTCGTCACCACGTCTTCAGACTGCGTTGATCCCACGTTGCCAGTGTGCGGAGTCAGCGGCGGCGTCCCCACTCGCGAGGGCACAGGCGCACGCGGCGGTGTAGGCATCCCGAACACCGATGCCGATGCCGATGCCGATGGTGTCGTGTTTGGCAGCTCGAGGGCGCACCTAGGGCCCGAGCTGGTCGTTGCAATGGCTTGCGTCTCCACTGACG